GAAATCGAGTTCTACCGCGACTGACATTTTTTTCTTTTCTTTTCTCTCTATGCAAAGCGAGATCGTTCCGCGTCTGGTCGCAATAAAAATGTTTATGCGGTCTGTAAAGGGATCGCCTTTGCTCGAAGGGAAAACGAGGAGGATATGGAGGATAGGGAGGAGGAGGCGAAATCGGTCGAGATATCTGTTAAGACTGGAAATTAATTCGCTTCTCGCTTCATGAATGTACATTTTTTTTAGATACTGGTAAATAATATTTTGCTTATCTTGCTTTGATACTAATAAATAAGTATGAATAAAGTATAATATCTTGGTAAAAAAAGAAGAAAAGAACGAATAAAATATTTCTGTATAGAGAACGTTTAAATATAAAAGATAATACTAAGAGAGAATAATTACACGGTGAGAGTATCTTTATTAAAATTATTAATGATCGAAGCTGACAAATATTACGATTTATTATTATTTATTATATTATGTATTATGATTATTTATTTTTCTTTCTTCTCTCTCGAACTTTTTTTTATTAGGATTCCTTTATCTAGGATTCTTCTACTTAATTACACGAACAAAGAGAATCAAAGAGGAAATTAATCGAGCGTAAATGGAAAACGATAAATGGAAATTAGATATGCAATGACGCTACGAAATTGAAATTTGATATTTTGATAACGATATGAAAGATACAGTGGCGAAGAAAAATTCTGAGTTTAATTTATATATTTTTGCTTATAATGTGATAACAATTTAACGATGGGACGAATTCAAATATGCGCGCATAATGTATTTCCAAACAATCGTATGCAGTCGTATAAGAAATTTAGCAAAAGCAAAAACACGAGAACGTGGAAAGGAAAAGCTAACGAGAAACACAGAGGCATAGAGAACACAGAAGACCTATAAAGGAAGCAAATAGATGAAAGTGGATTAAAACGTGGATGAAAGCAACGAAAATATAAAAGATTGTAGACGAAGAGAAACACGACGAAAAACACGAAAAAGAACGAATAAAAAAGGAAAATAAAACGACAAAAATGAAGATAATAATTAACTAACGAAAAGGAGAAAAAAAGAAAAATACGCAAAAAACGTAAACCATATAAAAGATCGAGAGAAACAAGATCATCAAGAGCAAGAATCAAAGGCGTAAAAAAGAAACAGAAATATTTAAAACATACAATAGATAGATCCAATAAACCCGTACAAAACTAAAACCAACCACCACCCCCTTCACCACCCAAGAAAAAGAATGGTGAACAACAACGTATAAAGCGTACCAAGAATATATACATAAGAAAGGAAAGAAAACGAGGAATCAAGACGAGTGCAAGGGATAAGTGAAATCCAAGCGCCAAAGAAAGAAAGAAAAAGATAGAGGAAATGAATTGGACGAAAAGAGACGAACGAGTCGTCGATTTGGGGAAAGCGGAAGGGCGGAGAGGAGAGGGGTATGGAGAAACGAGAGGAGCAGCAATGCAAATATTCGCGGCGACAGAGATTGAAACAATCCGCCAATTAGAATCGTCGACGTGAACGGGATTATGCAGATTCGCGCGGTGGGTGCGCGGGCAGAACCGGGAACGGACTGGCAGCTGCCGCACCGCTCGCTTAATTCAATCCACCGAGTTGTCTTATGAATCGTAAACCGGGCCTCCCCCTCCCCCTCCCCCCATCCGCGTGAAACTGAAACCATAGTCGCGAGAAGGATGGGCTCCCGTAAGGAGGATGATGATCGTTGAGGTTGGTTCGACCGATTCCACGCGGATGGACGGAATGATAATGCAAAACTTGTGCATTATTATTCCGGGGATGGGAGAGGGAATCGTTCGCTTTATCGCAGTGACTTCTGTCCTGGAAGGAAGATTAGTCGTACGTTGATGATGATAACGTTGGAAAAAAATATGGATCGTAATTTGTAATCAGGAAAATGGATAAAATTGGGTGACGAGAAATGGTTATTTTGTTTGGAGGATGGATAGAATAGAATTTTTTTATTTTTTTTTTTTACGTTGGTGGATAGAAAATTTTAACTGGAAAATCGTAACTGATAATCAGAGATAAGATTGGATGAGTAATCGATGAGTTTGCACGCGTGTAATTGCACGCGTTTATCGCATACGCGATTCCATCAAAATGAATAGCTGCCTCATTTTTCTTATCGTTAATAGCGTCGGGTGATCATCTTCTTTTCTGAAAGGAATAAAATAACAAAGGTCATGGTGATTAATGTCAATCAATCCTACTTCGTTTTATAATATATATATATATATCAACGTTTTATATTTACGTTTCAATTTAATTTTATTGCAATTTTTATCGTATCGTACAATACGATACAATGAAAAATCCATTTTGGAAGAAAATAATCACCTGTTAAATATATTTTCTCTCAGATTATATTATCCTCTCTCTCTACAGATTTTCCAATAAACTGTATCGCTCGTGTATCGCATATCGCAAGATGTTTCGCATGAAACAATCGCGTGAAAGAGGAATACGAGACGCTATCACCCATTAAAGGAGCGATACAACAACAGGATTGAAGGTTGACTACTAGAGGGGAAGATTGAAATGTATATTGCGATTTTTAAAGGACACTTAAATAGAATATTACGAGGGTTGCCGGTGAAAATGTGTTACCATTGACTTTTAGGGGAGGGAGGGAGAGGGAGAGAGAGGGAGAGCCCAGTGGGGGATAAATTGTTTCGCGCAAGAGAATCTCAAGTAAATACTCGCTTCTCGAGATACTTTCCTCGACGTTTCTTTATATCCCCGTTGGTAATAGAATAAAGAGTCGACCACGCAATGGAAATTCTCACTTTTTGCATAATTGACGTATCCTCGGGAGCGTAGCGGCACGTTGAATTATTTTATCTCGGGGGGTAATGTGATTTAAATACGAGGGACCAAGAGAGAAGATGCTGTAACGTTTCCATAAAGTATTAGAGGGGGATGTAAATTTTGCTGCAATTCCTTCTCTCTCTCTCCACTCCTCCCTTCTCCCCTCTCTCTCTCTCTCTCTCTTTCGTCGTTGAATTTTTACAAGGTCGAAAAGAAGGATAAGAAAAAAAAAAAATGAAAGAAACAAGAAGAAAAGGATCGAATAAAGTGATCGCTGCGATCTCACGAAATTAATGTCCCTCTTCGTGTTGTTCGAAGCTTGACTTAGAAGACAACTGAATGGAGGAAGATATCACTGAATTTTTCGAAGCTTTAAAATTTCCTGTTTGAGAGGCTCGCGATGTAAGCAATGGAAACGCGTCTCTATTGTCTTGCACGGCAGCCATCGCGGGCAGGAGGAAAAAAATCGTTTCTCCGGGGATTCTTCGGGGAAAGAGTATCAACGGCATCCGCGATCCATTTACTTTACTTCGACGTGGTTATTTTTAACTATTTACTTTACTTTATTGAAAAGAAAATTTAAGTAGATAATCATCTTCTTGTTTTTCTCTTCGATTTTTTTTTCTTTTCTAGTAAAAAAAAATCTTCGAAAAATATTCATATTCGCTACACTCTCATCCCCTCTCATCACCAAAAATAAATTTCATTCCGAAACGAAACGGATTTCTTTCAAAAATGAGGGGAGGAAGAAATCGTTTCCATTTCTTTTCATCAAAGATCGAATATTTCTTCGCATAACGATCGAATAATATTCGGAGGGGGGAAGGGAAGGGGGGAATAAAAGCGGCGAAAAACCGTGGCTCTGACCGTTTCACGCTCACTTCGAGAGGAATCAAAAGATTTTCGATGTTGAAACGACGATGCGGAGACGGCGGGAATTATGGGCGCGCTGCACCACCGACGACGAGAGAGCCCGTATTTATCACGAAGAGTAAAACTGACAGCAGTCCATTTCCTGTTCGTCCTGCCTGTCTGGCTGAACATAATATCTTCTGACGAAACAACGTGGACGCCGTTTGTTTGGGAAACAATGGACCGAAACAATACCCAATCCCTCCTCGGTGCGCGGACACGGATACAGACCACCATTTCCACGCCCCGTTACATTATTCTCTCTTTCCATCGACGAAAGAATCTTGGCGCGGGGAAAGACTTGGTTGAATTCTCGCGACAAACATTTTTCACTACGCTTAATTTTTGCAAAAATGATCGATCCCCCCTTCGTTGTGAGAAGATTTTTCTCCAAACATTTAAATAGTGTTTGTATATAATAGGATAATAGAATCTATTTTATTTTTTGTTTTTTCCAAGAAATTCCATTTTCTTTAGAATTATAAATCAATCGGTTGAAGGATTATAAGGGTGTTGATGAAACTTGCTTAACTGATCACTAATAAGGAAAGTATGTTTTGTTTCTTCTTTTTAACTGTTGAGTTCGAAGATATAGGATATACAGACGCGTGTTGATAGCAATTTTAAGCAGCTTAAGCGCTTAATAAGTGTTCTTATAAAGTGAAAAGACGTGGTAATTGATAATGATCATCGAAATTTAAATATAAAAATTCAACGATATGATGTTCATGATATGGTGAAATACAGATATTTATCAAATATATTTCAAAATAAATGTGCATATAAATGTACAAAGTGTATTGATCTAACATTTACATTACTTACGTAAATAAATCAGAAATTGAAATTTTATTTTATCAATTTAATCAGTTAACGCTAGGAAATATCATAAAGAAGAATAATAAAAAGAAATACTTAATCGTATCGATAAAAAAGATTAAGACGATCAAATCACATTGTAGAACGAAGGAGAGATCATCGAAAAAGAGAAAGATAAAATTACGAGACTCCTACATAATTAAATTTCAAATTGATCGAACAAATTATAAATTTTATATATATATATATATATATATCAATCGCGAAGATCCGTCGGATGTGGGGAACCTTACTAATTACTAATTGTTCCCGGCTCGATTGTTCATACGAACGTGGCGCCAAGTTTAATTGAAATACCTACGATCGTAGATTCTCATTAACGATTTCTCGGGGATTCCTCCGCGAAGACGTTGGCGCGAAACCGAACGTGCACTTGACAGAAATTAGTAATCCTTAATGGATGATGCGAAGCAAGCCTGGCGGTATTACTCGTCCCTTATCCAGTCATAGGCGTTGCCTTGCCTCTCGCTCTTAGACTCGACAATGGAGGATATTCAATTAATTTCTGAAGACAATAGTAGCGCGTCTTCGCTCCCACGATTCTATGCTCTCGCTTACGACCATCTTCCTCCCCGCGTTCGATCGTTACAGGATACGTGTATTTATAATCCCTATAAGAATATTAATTTGCATACGCGCAATGAAATAAAAGATATATTTGAATACATACATCGAAATTAATTTTTAAAATTATTAGAATGACGAGGAACATTGTTCAAAAAATTACATAGATTTTGTAATTAATTATCATCTGGAATGATATGTTAAAAATTCAATTCGTTTTTATCCAGAAATACTCCCACTTTATTCGTAACATTTACCGTCTATCTAACACTTTCCTCCTCCAGTGAATCGTCCCCTGAACGAGGAGCAGAAACATGACAACGACCACGGGTGATCCCTCGACTCTGAAGAGTCCAGCCTCGTTGTCCGGCGGCGACCTGGTCTCCCGC